GCATTGCCCTTGATAAAACCAGACTCTCAGAAGGTGCATTGAAACACCTGCAAATCACACCCAGCATCTTGTAACAGTGGGTGTCAATCTCAACACTTTCTAGGGTTTATGACTATGGATCATAGCACCCACTGCAATTGGAAGGACTTGATATAATAAGAGACCTCCCACCATGAACTGTGTTGACCCTGGGCTCCCTCAGAAGATGGTGGACTCTCCTTCATTGAAGGTTTTTAAGCAGAAGTTGGATGGCCATCTGTCATTGATGCTTTAGCTGAGATTCCTGCATTGCAGGGGATTGGACTAGATAACCCTCTGGGTCAAACTGGGCAAGGTAAACAAAATAACGAACAGACAGGAAGTTGTAAGAAATAAATGGAGAAAGGTGCTAGGACATGCACTCAACCAAGAACACCCTTCTCCTCTCCATAAGGCTACATTAGTCCAAAGGTAAAGGTAAAGGGACCCCTGACCATTAAGTCCAGTTGTGGCCGACTCTAGGGTTTTGGCACTCATCTCGCTTTATTGGCTGGGTCTTGTGGCTTCCGGGTCATGTGGCCAGCATGACTAAGCTGCTTCTGGCGAACCAGAGCAGCGCACAGAAACACCGTTCACCTTCCCGCCAGAGCGGTACCTATTTATCTACCTGCACTCTGATGTGCTTTTGAACTGCTAGGTTGGCAGGAGCAGGGACCGAGCAACGGGAGCTCACCCCGTCGAGGGGATTCAAACCGCCGACCTTCTGATCGGCAAGTCCTAGGCTCTGTGGTTTAACCCACAGTGCCACCCGCGTCCCACATTAGTCCAAAGCAGCATTTAAACCCCAGATTTTCAATCATGGGATAACTAACAAGCGCCAACGGAACCCCCTTTCCACCCTATGCTCTCAGGAACCAGATTCACACTTTGCTGATCCCATGGAGCAAGGAATGGCTGTGAGAGATGCTGGTAAAGGATAGTAACAGGGAGACTTCAATCCTCACGCAGAAGGCACAGAAGTCTGGTCCCTGATGGGTTCCACTTACTTCCGCAAAGGTACACCTTTCTCTTCCCTCCTTCTCTTCATTCTTAGTGTGTGTCTGTGGCAGATCACTATGCCTACTCTCCAGGCTTTGGGTAGTCAGGGATCCTTTGAGAACAAGCTGTGCATGTAATGTATGATCTGATGCCCGCTGATTGCTGTCTGAAGCAGCACCCATATCTGTCATCTCCTTTATTTCATGTTTTGTTTCAATCTTTCTTGATTCCTGTGGTGTGTAAACTTCTTAATTGGGCATAAAGTTAAGGGTGGAAAGACTTATTCATAACAGAGGCATGTTTTGACTCCTGTAAAAGATCCCCCAAACCCTCTCATATGGTAGGTAATGGGCAGGTCGGTTCAGACACACACCTGGTAGCAATTGCCTCAGCGTGAAACAATGGAAGCAATGGGCCTGAGGGAAACTGAGCCACTGGGAACCATTGAGAGAGGAAGCAGGTGTTTTGCAGCTCTCATGAGCCTAAAGTGCAGAGGGTTTGTTTAGAGCTTCCTTTTACCTTTGGGGTTTCCCAATAACTGTATCACAGAATATATCCAAGGTGGGTGGTGGAAATGGCTTCAGGTAGGCCATATCAATGGGACATGGGTGGCTTCTCATATGTACTTCTGGCTTCTTATATGTACTTCCAACAATTATGTGACACTTAGGGCTTACCAACATCACAACGATGGGTTTTAAAGCCCAGCAAGTGTTGTGTGTGCCATTTTCTCTCTACCACCAGCAATGCCCGTCTGCTTGCACTCCTGTTAAATATTAAACATTCCACACTCAGGTTATCTGCATCCCTTATCACTTGTTTCCTAGCTGATAATGTTTAATCACTCAAGTGTTGTAGTAAATCCATAAAGTTTATAGATAACATGGTTTTGTGTCCTTGGATTGTTTTACAGTTTTCTCCAGGTCATTGGATTCAACCTTGAGGCTTGTCAGCTGACCAGAAGGATGGTTCATAGCCATTTGTACTTAGAAGATGGCAGATTGAGACTTACTCAATGGGAGTAAGTACTATACTCCCATGTACTATAGACCTGAGGTGTCTGTCATATTCTAACCTACTATCTGCACATATACAGCAATATAACAATCTACCTTTCCTTAACCCCAAGATGGGTGTGTGTGACTGCAACTTTTTATAATGTTGATTTATAGGTGGGCTTTGTTTGTTTATTTAGGCCCATTAGCACACCATTTTGGATACTTAGGGGTTTGGTCTCATTTGATTCCCTGGGTCTAACGTTTGAACCACACTTGTGGACACCATGGTGCTTTCAGACACCCTCCTGGCAGATGTTCCCAATGCTTTTCTCTAAAAAAAAATGTTTAAGTTCACTCTCATTTCCCTACTCATATTGAAATACTGCCCCCCAATGAGGCCAAACTTAGATTCACACACACAAAAATTTTAAATTGGGAGCTTCCAGTGCTTTTTTTCTGTGAGGGGGGGCGCAGGGGTAGACATTCCCCTGCGTCCCCCCAGGAAAAAAGCACTGGATGCTCCCTTTTTAAAAAACAAAACAACAACCTTGAGGGTTCTTTGCTTTTTCTTTGGTTGGAAAGGTTGTCTGGGTTATGAGGGGGGAAGTTGGCCTGCTTTTCTTTCCTGTGTTTTATTTGTTTTGGGGAGCATAGGCATTTTGCTTTCTTTGAGGGAGGGGAGTTCTGAACATTACTAGCCTTTCTTCTGTGAAACTTGATTCACAAGTGTGCCCCCAGCCTAAAGAAAAAAAGGTTGAGTGGCCCTGGCCTCAGTTCTCCACAGGTGACATGGCAAGTTGCCTAGAAGGAAGAGTTCCAGAAGTCATATGCTGATGCCTTATCATGACCAATAAAAACTTGGCCTTTCCTGGAGTTTTTGACTCTCTGCCACACTGTAGCAACAAGGTCCCAGAGTTTAAACCTTTAATGTGGAGTTTTTTTAAATAACAGAATAGTAATAATAATAATTTATGATTTATACCCCACCCATCTGGTTGGGATTCCCCAGCCAGAATAGGATTCTGATGCTACCTGGGGCAGATAGCAGAGCCATAGCTTTTTTCCCCTGAACACCTGAAATATGTGTATGCTTATGCTCAATGTTTTAGAAACGGGACCTAAAAACTGCCGTGTTATTTTAAGCAGACATACTTCTATGCTCCACTGAGACTAATTCCCAAGTAACAGGGCACAGGATTGATGCCTTAATGGCCCTGCTTTTGTGAGTCGGGGACCGACTTGTCAGTCCATCAGTTCATCTGAGTACCATTCCCTCCCATGGATGTATCAGTGGCAGAAACACAGACATATCGCTTTCATCGTTAGATGTCCTTTGTCACTCTTGCTGAGCTCTCCATTTACCTTTTTGTGGTTACTTAGTGGCTTGTAAATCCAAGTGTTAAATTAATGTGACGAGAAAAGCTTTACATGTAGCAAGATCCAGAAGACATTGTAATTTATGGCTGCAGTCTTGAAGTTGAAATGCCGTTGTTTGTTGGCTAATCATTCTAATCTCAAACGCTACAAAAACCAGGGTGTATCCCTGATTCACCAGTTCAGTGCATTAACCACTAGGCTGGAGGGCAAAAACATTGCTAATCCCACTTTCAGAGGATCTAAAACGTAGCCTGCGATTTCAGCATGTGTTTCATTTGAGGCTCATAGGGACTTAGAACCTATTAAAGCAGGTGCGTTTCTTCTCCTTATTTGGAGAGCAGCAAACTATCGTCCCAGATCTGTTCTCAGCCCAGCATTTGCAGTTTGGTTGGAGAGCAGAGCATGTGCACTCCAAGTATAGCTGGAGACTGTCTCTGCACATTGTTAATATTGTACATCTTAGGACAAGGACAACAATGTGAATTGCAAAAGGGAATGAATAATGAAAACAGGAGTCTGGTGTTCTGCGTGCCGGCTGAGTCTCTCTCTCTACAAAATTTATCACCAGCTGCATCCCTTTCGTTGCAACAACAAATGCTGTAGGTAGGGGCACACGGACACCTGTGGTTGGGCATTATTTCCTCCTATGGCTCAGGGGGTTTCCCGCTGATGTTCGGCCAGAAAAGCAAAGGGCTTGTGCAGCTCCTTGAAACAAAGCTCCTGGGTTTCTTTGGTTTTCCCAGAGTTCCTTGAAGCCTTAACAAAACAGTGTGGGTGGGTTGCTTTGCGCTCTGTGAGCCATCATTCATGTCCAAAACTTGACCCAAGTGAGAGATGATATTGTGAGGAGTTGAAAATGAGGCAGCAATATGATGCAATAGCATCAATGTCACAAGCAGGTAGGGATTAGGTGAGGTGACAAAGCTCACCGATAGTGATTCAGTTCCAAAACAGGGAGAGTGTGTCTAGCCCTAATCCTATGGCGACAGAAGGATGCTATGAAATGCTAGATGGGGCTAATATGTTAATCGGGATTAATAAGAATTCCCACGGCCTAGACAAAGCAAAAATTGGGTATCGGCATTAGCCACAACCATCTCAGGCTGATTTTTGCCTGTGCGTTATAGAGAGATGTGTGAGAGATGTGTTGATGGCTTTCACTGAGCAGATCTCATCTGTGGATGAGTGCATTTTCCTGAAATATTAATTCCAGACAAAAGGCCTTAAGAGAACAGTTTCTGCTTGCCTATACATCTCACCTACCACACTTCTGATGTGCTGCTATGGGGAGTAGGGAAAACCACCCACTTCCATGCAGCAGAACCAGGTGTAGAAATGGGGAGAGGCTCAACTTAAAATTCTCCCATTGCAGTAACTAGCATGTTCCCACTGCTGTGTTCATGGAATCTTCCAGAGCATGCGTTGACACTGCTTCTTCTTCCCAGTGTCCATCTGTCAGGGAATGAGAAGAGGAGCTGTAGTAAGGTGAACTGATTTTCTGTGCATGTGGGATCATTGCAAGACATGCTGGTTCCAGAAAATAACAAGACAGTTTATTTTTATTAGTTATTTGTTTACAATTATATCCCACTTTTTGTCCAAGGAGCTTAAATGGCAGTTTCCCCAGCCATCCCTGTTTTATCTGCACCACAACCCAGTGAGGTAGGATAAACTAAAAGGCCCAGGGTCGCCCAGTGAGTTACTTGGAGGAGCGGGAATAGAACCTACTGCCCAAATTTCTTACTATAATGGCAGAATGCAAGCCAGCAGGCTCACTCTTAAGACAGGGCCATGGCTGTGACCTTATAATACAAAGTGTGTGACTGCAATAATAGTCATTGTTTTAGCATATAAGGTGCTTGGTGTTGGGGCATGGAGACAATTGCCCTGATGCTGAGGTGATTCGTGATCATAAACGTCATGCTCGCTCCCCCCTCCCCCCCTTGCTCATTCATTCAGACCATTTCTGCCCTGTCAGGGTTTGTTTAGCCACACCTTGGTTGGCTGTGGATGAAAACAGTCAGGAGCAAATAAAGTTCAAGGGAACTGCTGCTGGGGTCACTATTTACTGTTCGGCTTCCTGTGTATAAAAACCATGCCATGCCTACCTTGTTGTTAGGAATACTCGTTTCTGTTTTCTCATTATATTTCCGCATTGATCAGTTCTCCAAACGGCAGAAGATCCCAGGCTGAGCACTCTCTTAGGAAGCTGCTATGGCTGCTCAAGGGCCGTTTGAGATGGGTGGCAAATGTTGCAGCAGCTCAGTTTCTCCCCAGAGCATCCTCTACCAAATCCTTAACAATGAAGAGCGATGGAAGACCGAAGGGAACCCCCAGTGTTTCCCCCTTCCCTTTCCAAATATTGGCTGCCCCTGTGAGGTAAACCGAAGAGTCATCCTGAAAATACCAGGCGTCACCTGCAACAGAGCATTGGAAGTGCTTCTGAAAACTATCACGTTCATAAGAAAGCTGCCTTCTTTTTTTCAGTTGCCCCTGGAGGACCAGATCCTCTTGATACGACAGGGCTGGGAACCCCTCTTCCTACTGGGTCTGGCTCAAGAACGGGTGGACTTTGAACTCTTAGAGACCTCAGTCCCCAGCCTCTTGAAAGCAGTCCTCCTTAATCAGTCTCCGGAAGGTGAATACAAACTGGAGAACTCTCCTTTGGGAGCATCACTAGCAGAAGTTCAGAAGATTAAGGATTTCCTGGGGAAGTTCTGGAATGCAGACATTTGTGCAAAAGAATATGCCTATCTTAAAGGAATTGTTCTATTTAATCCTGGTAAGTCTCGTCCAGGTATTTGCAAAGGCTGCAGTCCCGCCCTCAGTTCCTTGAGCATGGATCCTATTAATACCCAAGGGACTTAACAGCTTGACTTGACTTACTTAATGACAGGATTGCACCCTAAAACTGCAAAGTTCAGGGTGCAGAAATAAATTTAAAAGTTGCTTAAGAGGGAGGAACCCCATTTTTAATTGGGTTTTTAAATGTTTACAAAAATCTATTTTTAAACCTTTCTGACTTTCAAACTACAATATACTTTTTTTTAAAAAAAAGTATGTATTATATATAATACACATGCAGGTGTATGTGGGTGTATGGGAGCTAAAATATGCAAATTTACTTTACCGCCTAAAACTTTAGGCTCTAGTCTAATGTGAGGGAAATGTATGCAGGAGCAATACTGGACAATGCACAATGTAAATGTGATATTACATTACTATAAGTCAGGGGTGGGGAATCTGTGGTCTTCTTGATGTGGATTGCAACTCACATCAGCCCCATCCAACATAGATAATTGTAAGGGATGATGGGAGCTGTAGTCCAACAATTTATGAAGTGACATAGGTTCCTATTTCCAGCTGGAAGTGCTGCTGCAATGTAGGGAGCCAATTACTACAAAAATGTGGAATGAGCAACAGACCCTTGAAAGAGATCTTAAGAGGTTGTAATCATTAGTGACAAGAGCATGGGGCACTAAATATAATTAAAGGCTCATTCATGAAACATTACCGTCGGCTTTTGAGTAAATGCTTAACTGCAGTGGTAACCAGTTGAAAAACTTTATGGTATTCTGTATTTAGAGAGAAGTTGTCATCTGCTCGATTTCGTCCACCTTATTTATTTTTAAGCCAGCTTTTTGGAGTCAATCCCTCACAAGGCTGTTTTCAATACTGTGTATCAAAATATGAGTTATATAAATCAAAATATCTTACCTATAAAACAAACAGCAGGGATCCAAAATGAGGGACTAAAAAAGAAAAACACTGAACCCAGCATAAGATAAAAATGGACCACACTCCCAGCGAACATGCAATAAATGGCATTGCCATAGCTCTTCACACTTTCCTGCTCTCAGAACCAACACAACAAGAAGATGCATTTATTTCCCTTATTTCCTTATTTCTAATTCTACAGACCTCCATGACTTAAAATGCCACCATTATGTCCAGGCCCTTCAACAGGAAGCTCAGCATACTCTGATAGAGTTTGTCTCAATGACTCATAGCAGAAGCAGGAGGAGATATGCTTGGATGATGGAATCGCTTGGTTTTCTGAGGACCTTCAGTCCAGATACCATTGGAGAACTCTTCTTCAAACCCATCTTGGGTGATGTCGACTTAAACACCTTACTTCTGGAAACACTTTACACCAAACAGGACCTTCTTTGACATCTGATGAGACATTACAGAAGACCAGGACTATCATCAAAAGGGGCAAGTTCCCCAGAACAATAGGAAACCTTGCTTTCTGTGCACTGGAATCTGTCTCTACCCCTGTGGAGAACCCCACCACACTGTAGGACTCTCCTGTGTTTTGCCTATTTCCTGTTTCTTTGGTGATCTGCATTAATATATATATTTCACCAGTCATCCATATGCTATGAAGGCCAGCATTCTATTGCCCTTTTACCGATAATCTCCACTAGATAATGACTTTCCTTCCTCTTATTGTTGCATTATACTTGTTTTTATTAATGCTTTGCCACCCATGTATTTCCAGACATTTAATGGTTCAGCACAGGACAAAACAGCCCAGACGTCACTGTGATGTAAAATAAAGTATGTTTTATTTAAGATTGTTCTTAATATAAGCAGTGATACTTGCATTTGCTGTTAATTTTGAAATTAGGTGGCTCAGTTCATTTTGTTACCAATACTTTTGATACTACACAGTTATGGTCACTTTAAATCAGGCATGGCCAAACTTGGCCCTCCAGCTGTTTTGGGACTACAAGTCCCATCATCTCTGACCACTGGTCCTGTTAGCTAGGGATGATGGGAGTTGTAGTCCCAAAACAGCTGGAGGGCCAAGTTTGGCCATGCCTGCTAAATGGTATATCCTGTGCAATGTGTGGATTTTTGTCACTTTACAAATGTGGCTGTGTGAGCTTTGAGTCCCCCCTCCCATCCAAGCCTAAGCCAATTACTCTATAAAGCACCTTTCTCCAGTTAACACGTAATAGATGGCACACAGGTCAACACATGCATTCTTTAGACAAGTCTAGGGCCTCCATCTTCTGAAGTATCTCAGGCTTCCCCCAGAACCACTGCCACAGTCTCTCACCTGGTGCCACAACTGGTGTTGCCTCAGGTTCCCAGCGATCCTGCTCTCACTTAGCTGTAGCTCTCTCTTAAAGGCTGCTTCCGGAGTCTTTTCCTTGCAGTCTTTTTTCCAGCTCTTAACTGACCTGTGACCTCCATGTTGTGAGCATGGGTATGCAAGTCCTTGCTGAGCAGCATTAGGTTTTAAGTTGTTTCTACATGCCGGTTTGTCTTTTAATTGCTAATTAAGTAGGTTTTATAACAGTACATTCAGGGCTTCAGTGTTTTGACAGGGATGTTGCTGCAACTTTACAATGCATTTAGCATAACCTGAGCTTTATGTGTGCACTTTGAATTCCACCTCTATATAATTTGCCCTTTATTTTTCACGTACCAACACCGGTATGCAAGTTTTCGGATAACACTACCTTGTCTTTGTTCACACATTAAAACAATGCAGCTTGATGGTTGCAAAATTGCTGGCTGTTTTCTTTTAATGCATTCTAATCGAGATAAGACTGAATTTAAATATTCAGGAAAGCTAAATGCATATTGAAACAAATGGTCAGTGTATACTACTCCACCAAAAACAGGGAGGACTTGTCCCCTCCACTAGTAACAAGACAAAAGCATGTAGTAGTCGTAGTAGCAGCAGCAGCAGCAACAACAACAACAATAACAACAATAATTTTATTATTCGTACTCTGCCCATCTGACTGAGGTGCCCCAACCACTCTGGGCAGCTTCCAACAATATAAAAGCATAATAAAACATCAAACACCTAAAACTTCCCTATATAGGGCTGCCTTCAGACGTCTTCTAAAAGTTGTAGTTACAGTGGTACCCTCAGGTTAAGTACTTAATTCGTTCCGGAGGTCATTCTTAACCTGAAACTGTTCTTAACCTGAAGCACCACTTTAGCTAATGGGCCCTCCTGCTGCCGCCGCGCCGCCGGAGCACGATTTCTGTTCTCATCCTGAAGCAAAGTTCTTAACCTGAAGCACTATTTCTGGGTTAGCGGAGTCTGTAACCTGAAGCGTATGTAACCTGAAGTGTATGTAACCCGAGGTACCACTGTATTTACCTTCTTGAAATCTGATGGGAAGGAGGGTGCCACTACTGAGAAGGCCCTCTGTCTGGTTCCCTGTAACTTTACTTCTTGCAGTGAAGTTTACTATTCCACTCATAATAGTTAGATGTATGACACACTCCTATGTATGTTTATGTGGAAGTAAGACCCAATGAATTTGTCTGAAGGATTGCAACCTGGATGCATCATTTTCAGGATGGCTCAGTACGGAATATCATTATGCCAGAATACCAATCAGTAAAGGAAGCAAGCTGGAATCCTTCAATGCATAAGCAGCTGGGGAATGGTTAGAGCAGAAGGGAGGGAGTCCAACAGCAGATGGAGCCAAAACCAATGACAGGAAGAGCCAAGTACTTGTAGTTTTGCCTCCTTTGTCCCCACCAGGTATGTGGGGTTAGGACTGCAGTCTTAGAAAGCAACCTTGCTGCTTTTACTTCCTCTCACACACTCTCTTATTATGAAAATTAACATAATTTGATTCTCATTCTGCAAGGATGAAGAGCAAGTGGAACCAGGCTTTCCAAGGGTGGAGAAACAAGCAACTAAATAGTGGTGCTCAATTTGACCTTTCTGTGAACAGAACAGGAGTTGTTTGCTGCAAATTTCAGCCAGAAGTCCATTCAGTAGAGAAAACGTAGAATACACATGGGTTGGGAAGTTTGGAAGAAAAGCAGGGTGGGCTTAAAGCTTTAGAAGGAACTGTAAAGTATTTCCTAGAAATTCTTCAGGGGATGGAAAGCAACGGTACAAAATCAAATGCAAGTTTTGGTCTGCTGCTGCAGGGTTACAATTAAATCCAAGGTAATGAACCTATTAAGGAACATTTATTTAAAAACTATTCAAGATCTTGAACTTAAACATAAAAAACTGGTTCAGCTAGAATATATGCCAAGCTAGAGCACAAGCTAGAGCAGCTGTGGAATCTCATTATGTGGCCCAGTCACTCCACTTTGTGAAACCAAAGTTCAGTGCTCTAAACTCTTAGCAAATGCGTTAAAGGGGGAGAAAAAGAAGCAATCACATGTGTTCTCTTTGAGATAAACTAACGGCTCAGAAACCTAGGATGGTAAAAATAATAAACAAATGATTCTGATGCTATTACTTGAACCTATATCAGTCAAAGTAACTGTTACATAGGGCTTTTTTCCAGGGGGAACTCAATTCCGGCACCTCTCAGGTTGGGACGCGGGTGGCGCTGTGGGTAAAAGCCTCAGCGCCTAGGGCTTGCCGATCGAAAGGTCGGCGGTTCGAATCCCCGCGGCGGGGTGTGCTCCCGTTGCTCTGTCCCAGCGCCTGCCAACCTAGCAGTTCGAAAGCACCCCCGGGTGCAAGTAGATAAATAGGGACCGCTTTCTAGCGGGAAGGTAAACGGCGTTTCCGTGTGCAGCTCTGGCTCACCATAGCAGCAATGTCACGCTGGCCACGTGACCCGGAAGTGACTTCGGACAGCGCTGGCCCCCGGCCTCTTGAGTGAGATGGGCGCACAACCCCAGAGTCTGGCAAGACTGGCCCGTACGGGCAGGGCTACCTTTACCTTTACCTTTAGAGCAGCATAGATTGGAACTGGACGCTGTGGAATCTCATTATGTGGCCAAGTCACTCCACTTTGTGAAACCAAAGTTCAGTGCTCTAAACTCTTAGCAAATGCGTTAAAGGGGGAGAAAAAGAAGCAATCACATGTGTTCTCTTTGAGATAAACTAACGGCTCAGAAACCTAGGATGGTAAAAATAATAAACAAATGATTCTGACGCAATTACTTGAACCTATATCAGTCAAAGTAACTGTTACATAGGGCTTTTTTCCAGGGGGAACTCAATTCCGGCACCTCTCAGGTTGGTGCCATTGCCATTCTAAGAGAAAGGGGGAGGCATTCATGGTGAGTTCTGGCGCCTCTTTTTCTAGAAAAATAGCACTGCTGTTACAGAACAATATGAATCAATATTTGGATAATCTGCATTTGAAACCACTTAAAGAAGAACACACAAAGTTATCAAATACAGCATTTATACTGAAGAAGAAATCAGTTATCAACATTGGCAAGCTAAAGCATGGCAAGACACCAGGCCCAGACTGCTTTGGCAGTCTTTTTTATAACTGGGTTGCCATATTTCAAAAAGTGAAAATCTGGACACAAAAGTTGAGGATTTCCCTGGACATTAAACCCTTTCCCACCTGGATGCTGTTTACAAATTCAAGAGTGCCTAATACCTTATTTGAATATTTTGTTTAATACTATCCGGAATGGGGAAAGAATCTCAGATACTTGGAATATCCCATGTGGGATCTGAAGGAAGTGGGATCCTATCACCTGATCAAGATTTCCTTTTTTCCCACTCATGCTCTTCACCAGAGTTCCTCAAACACGACCCTCCAGATGTTTTTGGCCTACAACTCCCATGATCCTTAGCTATCAGGACCAGTGGTCAAGGATGATGGGAATTGTAGTCTCAAAACATCTGGAGGGCTGAGTTTGAGGAAGTCTGCTCTTCACAATCCCCCTGGAGCCCTGGCTGTAGCATTAAGATATAATTCCTTCATTAAAGGATAGCAGGGAGAGGGCAAACAACATATGTGGACAATATTATTTGTATGACACATAATCCCAAAGGGACAATCCCTGCATTGAGGACTGAATTATCAGTTTTTGATAATTATCATAGTCCAAAGCTGGACTATGTTCTAACTGGGATAAATCGTTTTTGTATTGTAATCTCAATTCAAATACACAACTCGAACTTTAAAAAGTTAACATCTTGATACGTTGTAAAGATTTCCATTACTTAAAGATGCAGATCCCTTGAAATTTAAATACATCACATTATTTGAATTTTATTCCTTTAGTTAAAAAGATTATGTGTAATTTGGGCAGATGGAAGAAGCTTAATATATCTATTTTGGGCTGAATTGCATCAGTAAATATGATGATAGTTCCTACATTCCTACATCTGTTCCAAGTGCTTCCTCTCTTTCTCTCTCCATCCTACCTCTCTTAAGAATTGGCAAAGAATGATTAAAAATTTTGTATTTCAGAGGAAGAGAACAAGATTAGCTCTGAAAAATTGCTATAGGAGGCCAGATGAAGGAGAATGGGGACGTCTGCATTTGATGCTATATCGCAAAGCATTTCAAATAAGATAACACTGTTTTATTATTGACAAAGTTGACAAAAATGGATTTTACATGGACAGAAGTGATGGGTATTGCCATTTTACAAATGGACTCCTACAGTGCTGCATTAAATTCATAATCCATATACTCTGCCCTATCCTATTCCTACAGCTGCTTCTGTCATCCCTGATCATTGGTAATTGAAGCTGAGGGGGGGGGGGCTTAGAGTTCAGCCACACCTGGAGGCCTACAGGCTCCCCATCCTTGCTTTAGTGTGCCCTAGTACATCGCTAGATAACTAAAGCAAGGTTTCTACTTATTGCTGTTCCTTATTTTTCTGTGCCATCTTGTGGGTTGTCAGAGAATTGCAACATGAATGATGCACTTTGCAGACTACATTGCAATGGGCATTCAAGCGAAATGTCTGAAGATGTAAATAAGATGCTGTAGCGTTTGTGGCTGGTGCCCATCGAGACTGGTAGGGTGGAAGGCAGGGAGACCAACCGTAGGTAGAGCTAGAGACAACGAATTCTAATTTTGTCCCCCTCCTCCTCCCTGCTGAGTTCTACATATGCAACCCTGGAACTAAGAATGGGGAAGCTGACAGGCAGCGCCACCCTATGAACTGGTTGCGAGGCAGGCAAGTGGAGGATGGCAGAGGGCAGACTACGGTTGAGGGAAATTGTTTGGTCCGGTTCATGGCGGTGTGGCTGTGGACTGAAGGAGTACAGAGTGCATCATGGGCCACCCCTGTGCTGCTCTTGTCGGACACCCACCTTGTTTCAGCAGGCACCATGGTTCCATGGATGGAATGTTCTGCAGGTGTCCCTCTCATGGCGGTGCCATATTTGGTGTTCTAAAGATATATCAGGGCTTCCATCAACTCACCTTGACACCATATGGAAAATATTTGCATTTTTCATTAATTCAAATAAGCATGCTTAAGAAACGATTAAGCTAAGCGAGTCTCGATTCAGGTGCTGCAATTTGTTGACAGCGTCGTTTTGCATGCAAAGCATATGCTCTGTCACTCACCCTCCCACCTTGCCCTAGCAGGGGATTTCTAACGTGTTTGACAACTAGCAAATAAATGAATACAATCTCCCTCAAGAAATAAGACCTGACCTGATAAAAGTTTATGAACTTTGCTTCTATCTTTATTTGGGTGTCTGTGTGTCCTGAATGTGTCCATGGTGGTTGTTGTTTTTATCCTTGCAGGTAAGGGAGAGCACAAAATGGCAGGAAGTGCCGTTTCCGTACAACTCTGCAGTTTCAAAAGTCAAATCGCTGCCAAGGTTCCCTTTATATCACACGCGAACCTCCCAATTTCCTCTTAGCACCTACCGTAATCCACACCAATACTCTGCGCATGCGTCTCACCACACCTCTCTAATTCTCCCACCCCCCCCGCCCCGACCTTCCAGAGCAGTTTCTCGCTCGGTCTTTTTAAACACAACCCCACCGCCCCAGCAGGGAGGGTTCTGATTGGCCCGTCCCCCGCTCGCAAAGCTGCCAATGAGAATGTCCGGTGCGGTCCCCGCCTGCGCTTCTCAGGGTCGGCGTAGCGAGACCACGGGCGCGCGCGCGCGCGTTCCTCGTCAGCAGCCGACATGGCGCTCGCTGGGCTCGCGCTGCGCGGCGCTGCTGCGGCGGCGTCGAGACCTCGGCCGCGGCTACGTTTCGCGACGGGGCCTCTGGGCCGCAGGCACGCGGCGCATTTCACTTTCCAGCCGGACCCAGAGCCCACCCAGTATGGTGAGAGCTTCCGTCCTCCTCACTCGCTCCTGAGTAGAAGCGAGCCGCCCTCGCTTTCCCGTCCACGCGCCCGGCGGACTGAGGCGGCGCAAAGCTGAGGCGGTAGAATGGACTGCACCATTTAAGGAGGGGGAAAAAGAAAAAAAGATATTTTCACACACCCCACCGGATGCCGTTACTCAAAAACCGCGCACCAGGCGCTAGGGCCTTTTTCTAAGCCCCGCGCCTTTTATTTCTGAAGAATCTTTTACGTGCAGCCGAATTTAAAAAAGGCACCTTCCACCCCCCCTCGTCCCCTTAAAGTGGTGCAGTCCGTTCTCCCTTCTCATTCCCGCTTGGTTCCGCTGTCCTGTGGAGACTCAGCCTCATGTTGCTGCTGGGGAGGGTGAAGGCTTGGAGCTAGAGGGCGATCGCTTTGTGAATGGGGGGCAGAAATAAATCAAACTTGTTTACTCTCTCCCCCCCCTTGGGTGGTGGTGCTCGCGTTATTAAAATTCAGGTTGCCCACCTCATTGTGGTACTGCAGAGCAGCAAGGCAGCCAGGTGCCAAAGAGGCCAGAAGGACACTGGTAGCTTTTTTAGCAGTTATGGCAGAAATTGGGAGGCTTGCACCCAGCTGGTAGTTTGCTGTAGTTCTTTGCATCTGGTCACATTCACTTAATGTTGGAGTAGGGTTTTTCTCCTTCATCCCCTTGAACGTGGAACTCCCAAAACAAGGCGTCCTGTAAATATTGATTCTAGGGAGTGAGAGATGTTACTGACAAACACACACTCCTGTGGGTAGGAGTGACAGTAAAAATCATGAAAACCGCCTGCCATACACACAGGCGTACAGTGGTACCTCAGTTTACGAACAGTCCTGTTTACAAACTATTAGGTTTACGAACTCCACAAAACCGGAAGTAGTGTCCTAGTTTGCGAATTTTATCTTGGACTACGAATGGAAGCCGAACAGTGAAAGGGCACCGGTGGAGGGAGGCCTCATTAGGGAAAGCGCGCCTCAGTTTAAGAACGGTTTTGGTTTAAGAACGGACTTCCGGAACGGATTAAGTTCGTAAACCGAGGTACCACTGTATATGTAAACGATGGTACTACTAGAACTCTGTGACACCAGCCTGCCATGATTTATCTGTACAGAAGATTTTTAAAACTCAAAAGTATATACGCTGAAATGAATTCTTGGAGATGTGACCTGTGCTACTTTATAGTTCGTACATGAGGTCACTTCGTGAAGAGAAATTGTGTCAGTCAGGCTTCAGAACTATAATGATTTTGTACTTTAGGGTGCAGAGATAGACAGTTACACCTGTTAAGTAATTCCACTTCCTTGCTTCCTAAATACCATTGAACAGCTGGTGGTGGAAGAATGCTAAAAGGATAGCCTATTATGAGTGCATCCACTCTGAATTATGAGTGTGTGTGTGTGTGTGTGTGTATATATATATATATATATATATATAATGTTACATAATGTCTACATTCACATGAACAAAGGCAAACAATTGGGTACTTCTCTAGAAGAGCTGTTGTAGGGCATGGTATCTACATATAGTACTTCAGTGCAGAAAAATGACCCCAGTGATTTCTGCTATAAATTATGCTGATGGCCTATTATCTTCATTGGTTTGCTAGTTTATTGTAAGTCTCGGTACTGACCCCTATGTGATATAACTATGCTGTGCACAAGGCTTGACTACTTCTGTGTATGGCTAGGTGAGAACATTAGGGATGGAGACATTTCATTATTCCAAATACCTGCTTTATCTGTTTCTTATATTTCAATAAGAAACAGGAATAGCTCATTTCAATTCTGTACAATATTTTTCCCAGTATTTTTTCTAGTTGATAATAATAGGATTTACAATTCGGTTTTCCATAAGGTCCCTGAGTGGAGTATATACATTTTAATGTTACAATTAAAATAATTAGATAAAATTTCAATTGAAACAGTGCAAAACCAGTTCAAACCAGCAACATCCAAATATTACAGTACCGCAGAGGGGAATTAGCACTATGTATTATTCAGTCATCCCCCATTCCCCATCTTAAGCTGTTACTGAAAAGTACAATGATTAAAAAACATAATCCTATCCATGTTTACTCAGATGTAATCCTATTTAATTAATTGTAGCTTACTCCAATGTAAGTGGGGTTAGGATTGCAACCTTAGTACGTAGGCAAAAGTATTCAACAAAACTGAGCCCCCCAAAGATTATTCATGGTGAATGTGTCTTAAAATTTCATTATTCAGCTTTTGGATTAAATAGCAAAAGCAGAATAGCAGAAACTATTTAATGTACAAGAAAGACAATTAACTATTGATGAGTGGTGAACATTTCATACTTGATGTGTTTCATTTGACCTTATGAAGTGCTCAACTACAATCAATAGCACAGAAAGTGATAGCTAACAAGAAATCTTAACCCTTATTGCATGGACCCTTTATGAAGTTATAGGTAGTGAAATGAACTGTGAATAGCTGAAGGCACTGGGGTCATGGAAAATCTTGTAGATTGGAAATATATCATGCTGTCTCTGTGGATTGGAACCCAATATTTCAGGTATTTGTATTTAACCGTTGTCTTGTCTAACTTATTGGTCTCTTTGCACAGGCCAGACACAGAAAATGAACCTTTTCCAGTCCATTACAAGTGCCTTGGATAATGCCTTGTCGAAAGATCCAACAGCAGGTATAGTTTTATATCTAAAATTATGTCTATGGAGGTTCTTTTCTTAGAAGCCCTTTTTATTGAATACACACTCTTAAACTAAATCTGAATTAAGGTAAAACTTGTATGTAAATACGAATTAATTTGAGATTTATGTAGCACAAGAACATAGTAGAATTCTAAAAAAATTAAGCAGTGACTATGATCTGTTAGAAACTATTCAGAATCACGATATGGTAATAAGTTTGATAGGACCAGCCATAATCTCACAAAGTAAGCAATAGGCCTGGTGGTAGCTATACATCCTGCTACTGTGCAGCCAGAGTTTTGATTATATTGAATAATATAATGCAAAGTATGCAAAGGGTCAGGTTGAACTTGAGATTCCTTTTAATTACTAATCATTATTAACTAAGAATCATTTTGTATTCTTGAGCAATTATTTACTTAATTCCTTGTTGTACACTTGCAGTAATATTTGGTGAAGATGTATCCTTTGGGGGAGTCTTTAGGTGCACTCTTGGCTTGAGAGACAAATATGGTGAGTTTACAACTTATATGATTCATTTGCCAGATCATTGTTTCTCTTCCTGTTCACATTAACTAATTAATATATATATATATATATATATATATATATAATATTTGCTTTCGTAATTTTGTACCAGGTTTTGTGAGGTGTTTCGTGTAAAGTTGTGTCTGCACGATCTGAACCTCGTCGAATACGTTAGACACCCCAATACACGGATGACACCCGAGACCAAACCTGCATATATATTTATATATATATATATATATAAATAATGTTGTATTGTTATATACTTATAAAGATATGTGATATTTTAATATCAGGAGAGAGGTTAATGCTGAGAATTGTTATTCCTTTGCAGGTGATCAGGCAGCATGCAGGCAGCTATTTCCAAAGTTTAAAAATGGGCTAACAGCACAGTCCTATAATGTCTATTTAGAAGTAAGCCTGGTGGAGGTAAGAAGGATTTACTTCTAGGAAAGTGGGTCCTGTATAGAATTACAGCCTAGTTCACCTTGGTTTTGAAGGTTAATAAAACTGAATGATTTTTAGGCTCTTTGACAGTTATGCAGGATGTGCAGAACTATTAATATTCTGCACCAAGGAATCCCATATTTAGCATTTTAAAACACAGCAAATTTTCATTTAATGTCAAGCTTTGTTAGAACAGTAAATTCATTTGTGCTAGATTGTGCTTCTGACACGAGATGGTTTTATTTGGGGTCTGTGGTATACACTGATAGAGCTCAGCAATTCAATTTGCCCAACAAGGGGGAAAGACTTGCAAGGAACAACATTTTACATGTTGATATATCAAGAACTACGATAACATTTTGCAAATGAAACAAGTAGGTTAAGATTTGTTATTAATGACGTCTGACTTGGGGTGGTTTTGTATGCTGTGATGTGTGGGGAAATAGAGATCTGCACACTTCTATTTTAAACTGGCTTTAGATCTACCAGTGAAATGCACTGTGTGGGAAACTTACTCTGGTTGCTGCTAGTGAGAACATGGCTAGTAGTGTGCATTCCACTGCACTTTTGGCAGGGGCTTCTGGGACAGCACATCTCCTTCCACACTGTTAGAGCCCAGTGGAACCTCTCCCAGTCCTAACCCCTGCCAGCAACATGGATTAGTGGTTAGGGTTGCTCTGATCACAAATATATTGCAACTGCAACATTAATAAACAGTTACTAGTGTAGGTGTTACTTTCCTTACCCTTACACAAGTTTCTTTGTCTGCATATTAGTAGTATATATTGTAACAATGGCCCCTTTTAACAGTAGGTATATTTGTAGCTATGCTTGCATAAAGCTAAAGTGATTCATATGGTAACATTTCATAAATATATCAAACTATGTTTTTAGGTGTCCACTTGCACATGATACATTAAATGTTTATAGATGAGTAAATTTAGCTTGGGTTTGATATGAAACCACACCAAATAAAATATTGAACATATTTCAAAACAAACAAAAGTTACTGGAGAAAAGCTCTGTGGCTTCAGACTTTCCCATCATTGTTCTCTGACATCACTACTTCTGACAGTAGCTTTTAGTAAAAAAAGTTATTGTCACTTTGTAGGCTCCTGAATTCCACTAAGTAGCTTGTACTCTGAGAAGTATCTTTTGCATCTGTGCATCTACCCTATATTCTTATTTTAAAAGGTTTATTAAGAGAAACTCTTATTTTTGTAGGTAAAGACAGAGTGTTCAATACTCCTTTATGCGAACAAGGAATTGTAGGATTTGGCATTGGAGTTGCAGTAACTGGTGCTACAGCCATTGCAGAAATTCAGTTTGCTGACTATATCTACCCTGCCTTTGATCAGGTTGGTGCATAATCTAAGATGCTGAAAATAAGAATAACAGTTTATTGTTATTTTCCCTTAAAGTAATGAAAAGCTGAACAGAAATGGGATTGGACATGAGGGAGGCTGAAGCAAAATGTCAATATGACTGCACTAGGTTTTGGGGTTTTGGCACTTTGCACGTTACATGAAGCACCAAAATTGTATGTGTGAATGCAGTGGTGCCTGAGCTTGCTCTTCATCCTTCTAACATGCAAGAAAAGAAGAAGAGGAGGAAGAAAATTTACAGCTCTCCTGTGGGCAGATAGTATGTATCTCCTTAGAGGGGAAATGTATGAGTCCCCTTGCAGACATTTCAAAAAGTGGTGGAAAGTAGAGGTGTGAATACAATTTTGGTGCTACTTCTTGCTGCTGCTTGTAATGTGAGGCATCCCTCAGTGAAAAAGTATTGGAGCTAGGCTAAAAACTGAACATTTGTATTTAGCTTTGACTTTGGCTGTTGCATACTTGATAAAATGTACTTTGTTACAGAAGTAATAAAGAGCAACACATAAGGGTAATTTGTAGGAGTCAGATACTAGAAATCTGTGTTACATCTGTAGCTGGCTCAAGGAAGTGTGTTGTAAAGCAAAGAAAATGATGTAAAAATTTATTAGCATTTGGTTTTAAGATTTGGGGTGTCTGTTCCTGCTTAATGTTGTACAATGGAACATGAACAATCAAAATGCATAGTATGTGTGTGCCTGAGTACGTTCAAGATTAATTAAATAAATGTATCTTCCCCTCAGATTGTTAATGAGGCGGCAAAGTATCGGTATCGCTCTGGAAATCTCTTTGATTGTGGAAGCCTCACTATAAGAGCCCCTTGGGGTTGTGTGGGTCATGGTGCATTATATCACTCTCAAAGCCCTGAAGCCTTTTTTGCTCATTGTCCAGGACTAAAGGTATGATAATTGGATAAATGGATTTTATTATAATTGGTGTGGATTTACTTACAAAATCTCTTGGGAAATCTTTAGGAACTATCAGCTGGGAACCTTTTGCCGGCATGGCTACTTGAGTAGAGTCCCTTTAATACTCTCAGGTTTGAAGAGTGATGATTAGAGCTGCCTTTAATAAACTCGTAACAGATCAAATACCAGTGTACTTGAATCAAACAGAATTGTCAGAAGACAATTATACTGTCAGTCAAATGGTATTGCTTTTGAACAAGTGCCACAATCAGAATTTCAGTTGATATTTAGGGCAGACTGCATTGGCCTGAGTTTAGCTTCTGATGTGCCTTAGTGTTTTGCCCTCAATTTATTGGGGCAAGTAGCAGATAAAGTGTATAGGCACAGCAGTGTCAACTGGATAATATTTTGAGGATTATATTCAAGCCTGTTCTAAAAGCAATGCAAGATAGGCATACAGTGATGTTTCAGTACTGTGCTTCTGAGGCTCTTTTTGTAAGTTTGTTCAGTCTTGGTTTGTTCCACTGTAGTTTGTGCCACAGCAGTTTTAATTGCTACTGAAGCAAGCCAGTTATAAATGTAGCTTGAGCCATTAGTCTTCTTTGAAGAAAACCATAGAGAGACTGTTTGTGTTGTTGATTTGTATATACCTGATAACTACTCTGAACTCTGACCAGATGTAGATTTTTTTATTCTATAATGTGCTCATATTTCAGAAAAAAATGCATTGGATGCAGTGGTCACAGTAGAGAGCTGTAGGCTCTTTCAGGTATTTCTGAGCTAGTTTTGATGATTGAATAATGGTAGTTATTAAACTTTGATTAGAAATAGTAGTATAAGAAGGTATGCTACGTTGCTTCTGTAATTAGCCTCTTAATAAGCGAAGTATTTTGTTTTGTAGATTTTCTTATTCTATCTTTTTTCCAGGTTGTTGTTCCAAGAGGTCCTGTAGAAGCCAAAGGACTGTTGCTATCATGCATAGAAGATAAAAACCCTTGTATATTCTTTGAACCTAAAATACTGTACAGAGCAGCAGGTAAAGGCTTTTATGCACAACATAAAAATAAGTGAATGAAGATGATGTTCTGTATAGGCATATAAGGAAGCATGGTCTATTTGAGCAGCCAGCTTAAATTACTCATTTCCTTATTTCGTTTATCGAACATTTGCTTGGATATGAAGAAATAGATTATTTAAAGCATACTCCTGTGTGTTTATTCATATGAAAGAATACTACTAATAATGTCCCACTGTGTTGAGTCCTGGTGGTGGTGGTGCACAGATAGTTTGCTATTGTTTGTTTAAGATCTTTGAAAGAAAGATTTCCTGCCTGACAACTATGGATTTGCCTCCCTTATCTTATTAATAGGCTGAAGGTTGCCTGACCAACTGGAAGGTAGCCTTTTATTAATGACTGAAGAATGAAATAGGACTATTTCACTGTTAAGGGTATTTTGCTATAATAATGGCCCAGGGTATCTGTTTAAAGAGGTTTAAGTTGGCCATAGTAGTTTGAGCTTGTTTCAAACTTTATGAAATAGGATTATTTTCACTAGTCATATTTAAGATTAGATTTCCCATTCAGCTATATCTGCAATTAATGGAAACATTCAATTTCTTTATCACAGCTGTCTTAGAAGAAGTGAGGTGAACAGTGAGCATAAGCTGCAACTTGCTGTGGCTCATCCTTATAACTCTAAACTATGGCTTAGTATTATATGTGAACTGGGCCTGTATCTGTTAAAGCGTTTGCTCGAGTGCTGAATCAATGTTCTCTTATTTATCAAAGGAACAATTCATTTAGTACAAACAGTCAAGAAAGAACTTGGGTCTTAATATATGTATCATGTGGGGGGAGACTCTCAATTTTCAGTTAGGCTAGAAATGGAGGTTTTGGGCTATTTTCAAGGCAGACTAGTCAGGTGTGATCCAGCTTCTTGCCCTGCATACATACACCTTTGGCTTTAGGTAGTCTTCCTGCTAGCATTTTTTTTAAATGTTTGTTTTTACTCTAGTTTAATGCACCATCAAATCTAACGCTCCATCAAATCTAATGTGCACCTCAATTTTCAGAACCTTGAAACCCCAAGAAGTATTTGCTAGCAAATGTAAATGTGCCATCAAATCTAATGCGCGCCTTAATTTTCACACTGCAATTTGGCCAAAAAAGGTGAGCGTTAGATTTGAGTAAATACAGTAATATACAAAAGAGTTGAATTTTTCACGTTTTCATGACGAAAGGGTAAAATAGTACACATTTCCTGTTGTTGAAAATATTGATGTGCCAAAAATAAGAGAGAGAAGGAAATAAGCTGTTTGTCTTTTTATTAGGTGCATAATTTATAATATTGGTGAAAAAATACACTTTTGTACCTTTGAACAAGGTTTTTAGTTTAATTTTTAGCAAGACTTGTCAGTGTGCATTGTCTTGTAAAGATACTGATGCAGGAGGAAGCAATGCAAAGTACAATGGTGAATACAGAAGTCAAGTTATTTTAATAATAGCAACATTTTAAAACTGCTTTATTCAAAATATAAGAATTGTTTTAAACAAAACATAAATTTTACATAGAGGTGTTTGGTTTGTTTATTTTTAAACTATATTTGCTAGTGAATCAAGAGCACATAGTGGTAATTCATAGGAAACAATGAGTCACCTTGACATTATCAGGTTTAAGTACCTTGTGGAGAGAGTATTCTTATGGCTTACGACCTTTTCAGTTTCATTTAATTCTATCATATATGACATGAGTGGTGCAGAAATGATTTGCATCAGTGGTTGTTATAGTGACATGGCAGGTAAGATGGGAAAAACTAGCTTGTTTTTAATCAGCGTTTAAAATGCCCTGTCACAACGATGTGTTTTTCTATTGCAATTAATTGTAAATAAAATTAAACACTAGCACTGCCAAATGCATGACTTCGGATTTATGAATATTCATAGAATGTTAGTTGGAGGAAGCTTTGCTGGTGAGAAATAATCATGCTAATAACAATTAACAATAATAAAAAGGAGCCCAGGGCAGTAAAGAACAAAGCTGCAAAACAAGACAATTAAAAACAAAATAAAAACATAATCTAAAGCACCTGAAAACCTTTTTTTTTTTATAAAGCAGTCTTGTATCCTCACAGCTAATAATTACAAGTTTGATGTGGACAACATCTTTCAGTTATAAAACGCTTGAGTGAACAGGAACATTTTGAACTTTCTCTTGAATGTTAATAATGAGGGAGATAGGCACACATCACCGAGGAGGGCATTCTGCAACCGGAAGCTGCCATTAGTTCTGTGCAAAGGGTGATTAACTTAACAGTGCTGGGTTGGAAGGGACATTAAATGCTAATTAACTTGTCATTTCTGATATATCAACACAAGTTACTCACTCCATAGCTGCAGGATGTTCTTAAGGGGTTTCTGACCAAATATGACATAGAGCCAGGCGACTAATCTGTCACTAGCGGGGAAAGGGGGCAATGTTTCCCAGGAAATGCAAATTTAGACTTAATCCAGTTACTGGTGGAAGATGTTTGCCAGAGGATGTCCTCAGAGCCAAACAAGAGCATATGCTTGCATTAGATATGGCAAAGGTACTGAGGGCTAATGAGGCTTGTGGTCTATTAAAATAAGCCATTCCTTGCACAGGTACTGCACAGTTATTTCCGTGGGAGAAGATTTGGCTTAAACCACAGTTTTTTCCGATTCCTTTGCCATGGCACTGCACTCATACCTCAGAGTAAAGCTAACATAGTCACATCATTCCAGGGCATGTGCAAAGTTCCAGCTGAGCCAAGCATTTTGGTAATGCTAGATAACTGGTTCCATTGATTTTTATTGTTAATAAAGTTCTAATTTCCAGCTGAAATTAGACCTCATGTTACAATATCTATTTAAAAATCACAGGATTGTCATTATGCAAACTTTGGCCTTTGCAGTGGGAGACTTGGGTTCCAACAATTATAGCTACATGAAATTAATTGGATGGCTTTTGGTGAATCATACACTCTCAACCTAGTTTACCTAAGACCAGAGATTCTCAAAATTTCTAGCTCCAGGGTCTTCTTGAGATGGCTGAAAGTAACTGAAGCCCACAAGTCACAGTATGGTGGCAGATGGAGGCAGAGTGTTGCATAAACCCGAAATTACTGATATCATTTTCTATACGCTTCTGTCTAACCCATATTTGAAAACTATTATATCCTGTACCACAATGTTTTTCTTATGACAACGAGCACCACAGCCCAGCTCTCCTCAAGCTAAGTAATGAATATTTGCTTTGGAGGTATTGTGACCAGTGGTGGAGCTTCAGGCTCCAGCATCAGGGAACGGAGAGCAGGCGGGGGCGGGGTGCCCAGCGCGGGGGGGGGGGGCAGCCGTGATGGCACCCTGCCAGGATCGCGCTGCCGGGGCCGGTGCACTCTCCCCTCAACTCCTCTTCCTCCACCAGTGATTGTGACTCAGCCCACCCTTTTTAGGCAGAATATGCTGATCCAAAATGATGAAGAAAACAAGCAAGCAAGCAAGCAAGCAAGCAAGCAATTTCCCCACTTTTACCCTGAGTGCTTCTCCCATTCTCCTTTCATACTTGTACCATTCTGCTCCCCACCTTCAAATTGCCGGTTTCTGGAAGTAAGCATAGATTATGCTGTATTGAACTTGTTTGTAGATCTTGACATCACAACAACAATTTGTGGTCATGGGGAAGGGGACGTACACAGGCCTGGGACTTGCTGTGGCTTGTTCACGTGATGTCTGAATGTGGCAACTATCTACAAACTTATTAACTTATCTCTGCAGTCATGTGGCTTAGAAATTTGCTTCTTCTGTTGTTAAATGAAAGTGCAGATACTTAGGAAACTGAATTCTGTGGTCATTCTGGAATTTTCTGAAATCCCACAAAGGTAGAGCCTACATGATGGTAACAGAATTTATGATTTAATCAGTGTACTTATCCCTTCAAGGAAAAGAAGCTGGTACAGCCAATTTAGAGCAGGTGATAACTTGTGGTTGCAGGACTATAGCATATCAGAGTTGCTGCCAAATATGAGGTTTTGAAGAAGCAGTGTGTAAAAGGGCCTCATTGTCCAAAGGGAAAAATACTTCTGCAGCTTTAATAGAAGCATACAAGGAAAGATTGACAATTATTTTCAGAATAATTTACTATATAGCTGTGTGTTATTCTGTGGGTTGCTAGAGTGACTAAAATTACACCTGGAAACTATAATTGAAAATGCCCAGGCTGGAATAATTACTTCACTAGTATTATATAACTAAGAGCAGATGTCATTGTTAGTGGGAAAATAGTGTGAAAGAGCATTTACATCTAAAATTACCAGCATTCACATATGAGCACTGATATATTTAGGCTCTCTTTTGATTTCTTTGGTCTTTCACTGTATTGAGTTAAGCTAATGAGGTAAATGGGAATCATTTAAAGCTAGAGAAAGTAGCTTATTTTATTTTAGCAGAAGGTTTGGCTGAGAATGGTCAATAATATCGAATGACGCAACATATTTCAATGAAAATGCGAATGTCACAGACTCCTGGCTGTTCTTTGCAGCAATAGAAAGCCGCTGCTGAGGACTAGGGGGCCCTTGGGAATGGATGTGATTTGGCAGGAGGCTGCAGAGGGGGAGTTGGGCATTGGGAGAAATAGCCATTTGGATCCAAGCCTGTATCTTTCAGTGCAGTTCCCAATCCATAGCTGTTCCTTAGAAATTACAGTGTTGCTAATGTGGAATTAACCTGTAAATAAACTACAAATGAAAACATACAACAATGTGTTGTTTTTGTTTTTCTTCTGATAATTGTTTCAAATTGTTAAAAGAATGGATACTGGTACTGGAACTTTTGTTGTTGAGCAATTCATGTTTTTTGGTAGAGAGTCATATAGCAGCATTAACCTAGTGGCTCATTACGTGATGAGTTTTGTTAAGTCTTGTTTTCTAAACTTTTAATATACCATGTACAGTATCAGGCAAGCAGAGACCTCCCTTTGCTATTGGGAGTGCCTTGCCACTGTGCAGTCTGTATCTCCTGGAACTTCTTGCAGCCTCAGCCTCACCTGTTCAGTTTACATTCTTGGGTGCTTTGTCATATGCACCTGCTATTAATTAATTAATTTCAAAAGATTTATATATTGCTTGATTGTAATAAAACCTCAAAGTGGTTATGTAACTCGGGTCATTGAATCTTGACTATGGGAAAACAGTTTTCTTTCGTACTCCCAAGGTATGTTCAACTAACACAAAACCATGAGTAACACAATGCAAATTTTAAATCATTAGCGTTCAGCATGTAACTGTTTAGCAGCTGGAGAATCTAACCTACATTGCTTTGCATTTATTCAGTGGAGCAAGTCCCTGTGGAGCCATACTACATTCCACTCTCTCAAGCAGAAGTCCTTCAGAATGGAAGTGATGTAACACTGGTGGCCTGGGGTACGCAGGCAAGTAAGACTCTTGATGGATTTTTAAATAGAAATTATGCTATATTATCTCCTGGAAAAATGTTCTTTGAAATGCCCTCCAGATGAAGTGGACTACAACTCCCATGATCCCTGGCCATTGGCTGTGCAGACTAGGGATCACAGTAATCTAGTACATGTCATCCAGACTTAATGGCACATTCCTAACTCCCACCTCTTGCCAGTGGGGCTTGGTGAAGCCCCTGCCACATCCGCAGCCCTGCTGCTCATTTGAGGGACAGCAGAAATTGAGAGTAGGGAGAAGGAAGACAGGATGATTGGGCCCAATGCTGTTGTGTGATGGCTGTGGGACCAGCCTTGGGACCAGTGATGGCTGTGGGACCAGCCTGTTTTAGGCCTTTTCGTTGGCTCCTGTCCATGTGTTCAGTGACTGGTAGGTTGAGCCAGGAGAGCTGGGTGGTGCAATGCCTCCACCTAATCCAACTCCTCCCTTTTCCCAGCATAAGGTGGGTTTGGATTACTCTGTGTGGAGGTTCCAATGGAAGCAGTGCGAAAAGTTCATCATGACTTAAGTCCATTTATTTCAGTGGGATCTTAGGGCAGCTAACTATGGCTCCAATCCACAGTCTTTATCTAACAAGTGAAACTTAAATACTTCAGTGCATTGTGGAAACCTTTAAATTAAACACATATAGCATCAATTCTGTTTTTATTTTTGAAAAAATATATATTTCTGATTGAGGCTGTCGTGCTAAGATAAGTGCAGTATGCATGTTGTGAAATATTCAAAAGCACGCTCTAAGTGTTGCTGAAATGAAATTTCAGTAGCCTGCATATCTAATATACTATTGCATGTTTTCACCCAATATTTAGGTTCATGTTATTAAAGAGGTAGCAGTTATGGCTCAAGAAAAGCTTGGTGTGTCCTGTGAAGTAATTGATCTGAAGACTATTCTGCCTTGGGATGCAGAGACTATATGCAAGGTAGGTACATATGGCACATTAGCGCATTCAAGCATTTCAGTTATTTTCTCATATCGTAGGTCTTTGTGGAATGACCACCACTAGAGGCCTCTATTAGTTCAAGTTAAAACTGAGTTTTGGCGCTGTTTTACTGACTACTATACTGTGAAGACAGAATTTCAACTTGTTCGAAAATAATTTTGAAAGTCTAATCTATACTGTTCAGTCATATGAGATGGTGTAAAATATTGTGGTACGTTAGCTTCTTAGGTAGAGATGGGTAGTCAGAAGGCTACCTGGAAAACATTATGGTTAAAATCAGGGGAGTGGTACCTGTAGTCACAGTACTGACTTGAAGAGAAATCTGTAATCTATTTTCTGAAATATATTATGTGTATTTTTTTCTTTATAATTTTCAAAAGAGCTTTTTTCTTCTTTAGAACTTTTAGAATAACTGGCTAATAATGGGGCGTGTTGGGGGAGGGGTACTGCCTCTGGTGGGGGACATGTCATGCTCCGTCTGGGGTAGTTTGTCCACTTTTGGTCCCCACCCTGCACTTGTGCTTCCTAGAAGTGGCAGCATGTGACAGTGCGCACACCCTGGGGAAAAACTTTGATTGGCCTGCTAGACCAGGTAAAGGTAGGTGATGGGCTTAGTTTTAAAATGCATCCTTATCTTGTCATTCATTCCTTCTTCTGAATCTCTGAACATCTGGAGAATGAGTGTGACCTTGTCAAATGTGGGACACCCTCTCCCTCATTCCAGTGATGAGTAAACTTTCATTTATTGATTATATTTTACTTTAAAATGTGTGTGTTGCCACTCCAAATGCTTGAGAACGCATACAAAGAAAATATTTAATAAAAATTATTTCAAGATACAACAAAGAAATGCAGTGTCGGGAGCTTTGGGTTGGTGCAGCATAGAAGCAGAGAAGGATAGCTTTGTCTCCTTCACTTCCAGCTTTTCTGTCTTGTTTGCCCAAGTACAGGACTGTGTATTCTGCTACTAATTGCCGGACCCTTCTCCAGCTGCTGCTATGCACTTCTAAAGAGTAATTAAACATGTGGTGTTTTTTCTTTTTAAAATACTTTTGTACTGCACACATATTACACAGTTCTCAAGTGAGGAATGTTGACAACAGCAGCTGCATGTGCCCTAGTTGTCAGTAAATAATTAAATTCTCATCATTAATTTTGCTAATTCAGATAGTTTTTCATGCATTTTTTTTTGTTATTTTTCCCATTTAAAGCTTCCTCTTTCCACATTGGTAGATTCCTCTTTTTGTAAATGTTCTTGAGTTCCTGTAACAAGTTAAATCAGGACCACTTGTTTTAATGGCACCACAATTAAACTCAAGATTCCTAATGACATTTCGGAAAATTTGAAGAGAGAACTTAGTGAAATTTGGACTTTTGTACTAAACCAAGAATGTTTTAGCAAAAAAAGGCGTGATATCCTGCAGCAACATACAAGAAGGACTACAAAGCAATGAAAATGGAGCACAAAGAATGCAGTTTTAAAATAAAATGTTAGCCTTGGCTAATCAGGTTCTCTTCAGATATTTTGGCCCATAACTCCAATGTTAACTGCAAGATTGCACCAGATTTAATTACTTGAAAAGACTGTCCTCCATGCCTCGCAAGCGCTTGACAGCCCTGTGCTGTGCGGAATTGGAGAACAGCCAGTGGTGGAAATCTAACACGCAACGTTATTTGAACTCTTATTATTTCCATAAACTAGAGGAGTTTATATCCACAGACAAACGCCAATTAAGGGATTGGTGCCAAGTGATCAAATCCTCTAAATCAGGCATTTCCAACTCCGAAGAGACTATGATCTGCTCCCAGTATAAAAAAACTGGCAATGATCTACCCATTGTCATTGGAGGGAGGAGCGTTCGTGGGGTGGGTGGATTGCCCAGAGTTTTTTTTAGCTCCCCCCCATAATTTTGTACACAATAATGATCCCGCAATCTACCAGGATCAGCCACAGGGATCTACCAGTAGATCATGATCTACTGGGTGGACATCCCTGCTCTAAATTCTCTCCTTGGTTCCTCCTAAAAACAGTCCATTTTAGAGCCAGTTGCCTGTCAAATCTCTGGCCAGCCTCACTTAGATTCACTTTTACTGAGCTACGTTTTCAAGCTATACACTCTGCTGTCCTAGACGGACGATATAACAGGGTACTATTCGAAGACAGACTTTGTTTTTGTGGGCAGCCAAAGGTGGAAGACGTCTTGCAATATTTTCTATATTTCCCACTATACACTGGACTGAGGAGGCGATTTACCACCTTGCCCTCCGTACAGGAAAAATGTCTCTTCCCACCAGAGAAGACCCTATGGCTTTTTAGCGATGTAAACATTTCAGTGACTCATAAAGTTTGCTTTGGCGGCCAAAAAGATCAGAATGAAGACCTTGGAAAATATAGCAGTGAACTGTAAGGGAGACGCAGAGATCTAAATAGAGACATTTAAAGCTATGGTTTTCCCAGTAGTGATGTATGGAAGTGAGAGCTGGACCATAAAGAAGGCTGATCGCCGAAGAATTGATGCTTTTGAATTATGGTGCTGGAGGAGACTCTTGAGAGTCTCATGGACTGCAAGAAGATCAAACCTATCCATTCTGAAGGAAATCAGCCCTGAGTGTTCACTGGAAGGACAGATCGTGAAACTGAGGCTCCATTACTTTGGCCACCTCATGAGAAGAAAAGACTCCCTGGAAAAGACCCTTATGTTGGGAAAGATGGAGGGCACAAGGAGAAGGGGACGACAGAGGACAAGATGGCTGGACAGTGTTCTCAAAGCTACTAACATGAGTTTGACCAAACTGCTGGAGGCAGGAGGGCCTGGCGTTCTCTGGTCCATGGGGTCACGAAGAGTCGGACACGACTAAACGACTAAACAACAACAACATTTGTGGCGCGACACCCCTTTTGCTTGTATTTTTGATTCAGATTTGTCCTGGCCAATGGCTAGTACAATAAAGTTATTTAGATTGGACTGGACTACAACTCCCATCAATCTAGGTAACATAGCCAATGATTGGGTGTGATGGAAGGCTGATATATGTGATGGGAAGCGCCAGAAAGCAGTAGATTTCTGCCATGTGTGCACAGCAGAATTAATGTGTATGTCTCACATTAGATATCATGCTGCAATCTATACCAAGTTTCCAGGCAGTAAGCCCCACTGAATTAACAGGATTGTACTGTTAATGCAGGGCATATTGTCTTGACGAATGGCCCTCATAGAGCCAAGCAATTCTCTAGAAATCACTTGGGTTTGAATGTAGGACTGTTAAGGGTTATCCTTTTGTATTCAGCATCTAAAGAATTTTGGCTTGCATTTAAACTAATGATATCACGTCAGTGCTTTCTCTTTGGAGACAGTCCTTTCAGTTTATGTATAGCTATGCCATACATCCCCTCCTCCCTAACTAATCTTTGATACAGGGTAGATTTATGTTGTAGCTTCCTCTGTAGCTTTAGCAAATGGAAAGGAATCCAGGAACCTTTGGTTTTCCTGACTGTCTTTTTGTCTAATGACAGTAAAAGCCAATGTTTGCCATTGAAACGGTCTCCCTTGGGAGGTTGTGGACTCTCCTTCATTGGAGGTTTTTAAGCAGAGGTTGGATGGCCATCTGTCATGGATGCTTTTGTTGAGATTCCTGCATCACAAGATGAACATCAGGGTCCCTTCCAACTCGACAATTCTATCATTCTATCACTGAGCTGGAACACAGCATGCAGTTAATAGATACAGCTTTTATGGTAGTTTGATAAACCCAGCAAAATCTGTGGAGTTTCTGTGAAAACTTTTGTGGCTTTCTGAGGAAATCCCAGCCCTATACCTGCTGCTGTCATGTTCCTTAATCACGAACGAATAAGGCAACAAGAATGTCAGTTCTTGGCTGCAAAGAGATCATTTGCTTCTGAACTAGTAAAATGTTGGACACTCGTAACTGTGATAACTGCAGTCTTTTAAAAAAGTAATTTGGAACTTTTAACTTGTTCATTGATTTACTGGTGTTAATAGAAAATTAAGACTGATCCATTGCATAGATGAATCTGCAGGGTTTTTCACTCTGTATTGCATTAAATTCTTGTAGCAATTACTGTTGTTACGTTTCTTATAGAATTTTATCTGTTGCTGGATAAACTTTGGATATTTTAGAGCAAGAATTTAGCTTTTAGGAATATTTCTGCAAGTATGCTTATTAAAACATGAAATTGCATGTTCTGTTTATACTATGCATCTGAAAGATCATTGTTTTAAATTATTTTATCTTTGCAGTCGGTGGCAAAGACTGGACGGTTGCTGATTAGCCATGAAGCCCCTATTACAGGAGGTTTTGCATCAGAAATTAGTTCAACGGTTCAGGTAATCTGTTTTTAAGTACCAGAAGATTATTTTCTAGAAGGATATTTATAGTGTTAAGAATGACATACTCAAAAATATAATTAAGATGTTACAGTTCTCTTGTGCATGTTAATTTTCCATCATTTTGGGAGTTGAGTGCTGCCTTGTGGTTGAAGGGAGAATTGTTGTACAAACAGGGAAATCTCAGTGCTCCAAGCCATCAGTCTCGTTGTGGTTGCATCTCAGTACTATGCTTCTTTGTTGGCTTTCAGGCTTGTGTTTTCTGCTTTACTTCATTTGTGTCTTCTGTAGTGCCCATGTATCTCCTTGAGTCCTCTAGTTTTCCTTTGTCTTTATTAAAGACAATTTTTTATGGAATTTTGCTTGAGGATTAATTTTGTAGTGGTTGTAGCGAAACAGTAACATAGGTACACTTACAACTAAGTGGTGAACTAGTAAATCTCTAGAACTGTCATGTATAGTACAGCTAAACATTTGGAAGAAATGGGCACTGATGTGTGAAAATGGGGTTCTCTTGAGTCTTGACTTGTTATGGGTATACAGGGAAGTTTAGAAGTTTCAGAAAGCAGAAGAAAGACTGTGCCACACACTGTGTTTTTCACAGCTGATTTTATATTACAGTGGTGATTATGTTGTTACTTAAGTTTATCCTTTTCAAAACTCAAGATAAAACTTGCCTATCCTGAAAAATTCTGATTTTGTTCATATTTGAAAATAGAGCATATTATTTAAACAGAGCAATTTATGACAGCTTGTTTTGAAAATATTGGTTTCATTATTCTTTTCATATAAACTGGAAACCCATTGTTTACATAGCCATTTTCATTTGGTACAGAGTTTAATGCCCTTGAATTTCTACTCTCTATTACTTTATTCATCCCCCCTTTCAGTAATTTTTATATATGCATTTTATTAAAAAATGACAACTGCAAAAGTGGGCAAAAGCTTTATAATTGGATATAAAAGCCTTTCTCCCCCTTCCTTTGTTGTCATTGTCATTTTTCATAAATTCCATATGTAAAATCAGATTTTCTGTCATGTGATTCATGAAATATATTGTAGGAGAACGTTAGTTTAGGCACACAAAATATTCAGCTTTATTATTAATTTCCAACACATATTCACTTCACAGTGAATGTATTTTTTAAAGTGTTTGACACATCTGTATCATGAAAAGAAAGCAAAAATCCAACACCCCCCATCAATATTTTGCTGGATGAAATGCATAGTAGGAATGCCAAAAATCTCAGGATTGGAGTTGGCTTTTACTTTTGCACATGGAAGTAATAAAACTTAAATAAAGGGAGTCCAATTGCAGTAGAAAAATTCTATTTTCATATCATTCATCCTAACTGTGTGGCTAGAAGAAACTGAATAACAATATGCAGGTTACCATAAGAGTATTAGCATGCATCACTTGGGGGGTACTTCTGGATCTGTTACTGTCGCTTGAGGCTCAAGTGTCCTTGATTCCACAGACTTCCTTCTATAATTTGCACCCCTGTCTGGACAGGAACAGCCTAACTTCTGTTGTCTACACTCTGGCAACTCTAGGCTAAATTACTGCAAACACATGTGGCTGGGTGCCTTTGAAGACTGTTCAGAAACTACAGCTGGTCCTGAATTCAGCGGCCAGATTGTTGACTGGTGCAAGGTGGTCTGACAATATAAACCCAATTCTGGCATAACTGCACTGGCCACCAGTTGGTTTTCAGTCTTAATTCAAAGTGCTGGTGTTGACCTATGCTGTTCAGGATCCTAATAACTCAAGACTGTCTCTCCCCACATGAACCAACCCAAAACTTGCGCTCATCATCCAAGGCCCTTCATCCTGTGCCTCCTCTGAGGGAGGTTCAGAGGATGTCAGCATACCTTTACAGTGGTGGCTCCCTGCTTATGAAACTCTTTCTCTAGGGAGGCAATCCTGGCATCATCATTTCTTACTTTTAGGCACCAGACCTTTGTTTTTTAATTTATCTGATGTCTCCCTCAGTAGGCGAGATACTTTAGTTCTGCCTTTTAATTTTTCCTCTGTTTTTAATATATGTAAGTTAAATAATAATCATTACTATTAATAATTTTGCATGTTATGGCAGTGTACACACACAACAGCATGGTGTCAGCATGGATCTTAAATAAAAGAGAGCGTCACATTGCAATCCCGGGCATGTTAACTTTAAGTCATGCTGATTTCAGCAGAGCTTGCTCCTAGAAAAGTAGGATGAGTTATCAAACTTATCTTTTGCATTGATGTAATCTTGAAGGAAGATTTAAAATCTTTTAATGCATATCCTAGCGTTTAATGAAGATGGTGTATGGATTGCCTGCTAGTGGTGACTTATTCCTGGAACTATAAATGTAGTTTTATTTAAATAGACTTTGTTCTATTAAAATGAAAATGGAACAGAGATGAATTACACCTGCCACACTGATGCTCATCTTTAATTTTGAGAGCCATAAGTTCTGTGTATAGTGAATTGAGCTCCAGGAATTTCCAGCAGGGACCAATAGTATGATTTGAGAAAAACTATTGAGCCTACCTTTTACTTTTCTTGCCCACCAGAGACAATTCATGTGGGTATTGCCTGGAAAGTGTGGCTTTTAGATAATGAGCCTTCTGTCACTACACAGGTTGCAACAAAAGTAGAAATAAACATTTTTAAAAAGTTTGCTTTCCCGATCCAAAGCTTTATCTAAGTGGATGCAGGGAAACAATTTGTTTGCACAATTATCTGGTATGTTGCATCACAGAAACATCCGTAAACTGTTAGAGCTTCAAATGCAAAAGCTAAGGGCTAATCCACATTGTGTCTTTTTTGTCTATGTGAACAGCCCTAGTCTTTCCTTTTATACACTCACATGGTGAAAAATAATGTCTGAACTAGTGGAATGCAAGTAGTAATGAGACATACTTCCTGCTTTCCTGGTTATCTTTCCTGGTGTATTGGCAGTAAGACTTCATGTAGCACAAAGTTTACTGGGGGTGGAAGGATGTTGCCTGGGCATAATATTTTATATCAAGACTTTGCTGATCATGATGTTGCTTTTAACAAATTATGAAAGCGTTTGATAACCTCTCACCCTAAAAGTGTTTCTAAAAGAGTGGCTGTTGGTGGTATCTACCTGTCACAGAGTTGGACGTCTGTTTTATGCTAGCATGATAAGGAGATAGTTATTGCTAATCATCAGAGGTTCCCAGCTCCTTTTATTTAGTATTATTTATATAGAGCATTTGTACCACATTCTTCAACCAAAAAGGCTCCCAGAGCGGCTTACATGAAATCAGAACAAGACCCTCCCTAGCTGCAGGCTTAGATTGAAACAAACAAACAAATAACATACAGAGGAAAAGGGACAAGGAGGGAAGATGAAAATAAAACTCAAAACCCAGGCACCAAATTATAGACAGCTGCTCGTATATTGACCAGCTTCTTGCATACTGTAGGGTTGCCATATTTCAAAAAAAGTTGTTGAGCTTTTTGTTTAGACCCCAAAATTGTTGGGTTTTTGGTGGAAACCTTTCCCTAAAACAGTCATTTTAAGCTTTTTGACCTGTTTCTGCTGCTTTTTCCAGCGCATTGCCATACACCCAGGTTTTCCCTGTCATTTTGTCAATTTGGCAAAATTCCATCAGATCCCATTTTTACACCTAAAGGCCAGGACATGCTAGGAATTTTCCTGGCGTATGCCAAGCGTAGCATACTTCAGAGGCTGGAGGTGCCTGATGAAATGACTGCCTCTAGATGAGACATGAGGGAAAAGAGGCCCGATGGAGCTGGCCTGCCACAGCAGAGTCAATGGATTGAGCTCTGCTACTCAGCAGACCTGGAGCCGCTTGAAACACATTAAATTTCCTAAAAACTCATTCTGTAAAACAGGGCCAGATACTCGGGATTTGCCATACAGCTAATTTTCTGTTTTGCTCTTTAATCTTCTGCAGTTCAGCTGGCAATAATCACAACTTCTAAAAGATTGTCACAGTTCCATAGATCACAGTATTAGATAGTGTCCTTGAGTCGTTGGACAAAATTAATGAACTGTAAAGCAATAAAAGAGGTCTGCGGAATGGAATAGAAGCCAAATGGAAAAGAAAAGGAAGAAAGGTGAAAAGGGTGGCCTGGGGGATGATGATAAGCAAGAAGAATTGGAGCTATATAAAAAGAAAGCATTGATAACATGGGCTCTGATTCAGATGACTACAAAAAGGCGTTTCGCTAAGAAAAGCATTTTGTTAAAATTCCCTTGTGTCGAACTACAGTTAGCGTGGCAAGATGCATCTATTTAAAAAAAATAAAATTCTGACAGCTACCTTTCCTGAGATTTACTTTCTATGTTTTGATTATGCATGGAGTAAGACAGTCTTTGTGGGGCCACATGAGGGTTTTTGTGTGTCATGTTAGCATAAAGTCTGCATAATGATGTGAACCACCCACCCACCCCTCTTCTACCATTAGTATTGGGATACAGATGGTTATTGGCTATTGAATAGATCAATAGAGTGTAACTTGTGAAATGTGGGCCATTTTTACTGAAAATTTATTTCCATTTTGGGATGTTCAGTTTGCCGTAGATATTTATCTGCTTGAGGCAAAATGATTGTCATAGTAGTACATTTATATTTACTGACTGTGATTTATAACTCAATATATGCCTGCCAAAGCAGAACTGGAATAAATATGGAACTTTTGTTTTAATGAGTTTCTTTCCTTTAGTGGGTTTAGCACATGCCTCTGTTCAACTGTTAATGTTCACTCTCCTAAAATGTGTTTTGGGTTATACTTGTTATTTAGTATATAGTTGCAGCTGCAAAAATATATTTGTAATTCAAACCAATATGGTTGGAAATACGGACCTAAACTTAAATTTAACCTAGATAAATTATAACATGCTTGCTTGAAATAATTCAAAGCATAACGGGAAAAGGACCAGGATAACTCTTAAATAATGAGGGATTCTCATGCACAAAGTGAACCTTTGGAAAGTTTTTGTAGAATTTTTCT